TGCTAAATCTTATACTCTTTCCATAGGCCCGGATGGCATTCCTGACGGGAATCCCGAAACTGTTTTCATTGGCTCTCCACTTGACGGGACGAAAAATCCCCAGGCTGCTCTTGGGACTACTTTCACAGATATTACTGGCGTCGTCCAATACCAGTAAGACCACTCATCGTCTCATTGTCCGTTTTTCTCCGTATTCTGGGTTCTTACCCTGTGTTGCAGATTTGGCTTCTTCTATGTTCTTCCCCTTACTGCACCTACCGTTGTCTCTAGTCCAGACGCAGCCGTACACCCTTCAAACATTAAGTCGAATCCACTTGATTTTTGCTCAGTGACGTTTGGCGATTACAATGTGCGTGTAATCTGATTTTTCTACGACACCGTTCAATATGGGAGCTAGGTCGAGAATTTGGCGCCTACATCAAGCCATCTACCAACTATAGCCAAACACATCGCCAACTTGCTTCATAAGCCCGATATCATGTTTCTCCAAGAAGTCCAGGATAACTCAGGACCTATTGACGACGGCATCGTCGATGCAAACATCACGCTCTCAACACTGGTCAGCGCCATTGCACAGATCAGCAATATAACATATCAGTTTACATCCATCAATCCTGTTGACAATCAAGATGGAGGTCAGCCTGGAGGAAACATCAGGACTGTTTTCTTGTAAGGCTTCATTTACATTTCTGCGTGATTGTAATCTAATTCACTTCATAGGTATCGACCAGAGAAATTGAAACTTATGGGAGGCTCCCCAGCTGGCGGGTCACTTGATGCTGTGGAAGTCCTAAAGCGCCCGTTCCTGAGGACTGAATTAAAGTTCGTATGGATGCTTTCGTTAGCCTCTTATTGAGACCTCACAGTTCCTCACTGTCCATTTAGCTTTAACCCAGGTCGTATCGATCCTGCTAATGCTGCTTGGAACTCGACACGTAAGCCTCTCGTAGCGCATTGGCAGACCAAGCTCGGACAGGATCTCTTCACCATTAACGTTCACCTCAGCTCCAAGGGAGGCAGCAGTTCTACCCAAGGGGATGCAAGGCCACCAGTAAACTCGCCTATTGAAGCCCGTACAGCACAGGTTACTAACGTTGCTGTAAGTTCATAATGTGATGCAGGTTGGAATGTCCTGAACTCAGTTTCTAACTTTAGACATTCGTCTCTTCGCTCTTTAAGGCCAACCCTCTGGCCAACATCATCCTTGCGGGTGACTTCAATGAGTATCTTCAAACACGGTCGGTTTACAAACCAATTCTTTCGCTTTTAACAGACATCGACGAGGCAGCTGGTATCCCGCCTGTGGAGCGATACAGCTATGTATACGATCAGAATTCAGAGCAACTTGATCATGTCCTCGTTTCACCCGCCGTAAAATTGCGCGGTGTCAACTTTGAACATGTCCATGTGAACACCTGGGCACCAACTCTTAGCGCTCGTGTTAGTGATCACGACCCTTCCGTTGGTCGTATTCGCGTATGTTAAGAGGGATGCATTACGAAGTTTCAACATAATACGCATTGATATGTACTGATGCAGGATCTTGTGCTTTTGTTCAACCTTGATACCAATACGCTCTAATAAATATCTTAGCACTGGAAAAGAAGGCCATGCAAGTTCCGTAGAAAGTCAATATTAATTATTATAGGATAGTGGACTATAAAGCACCATTTCACTTTTCTACAGGATGGACTTGAACATATGGAAATATCTGGTGAGACGTTAAAATTATAACAAACGACATGAGTTGAGCGGAATGATGGTGCTTGAGGCAGACTGAGAGCCGTTGGATGGGAGGTAAGAGCTAATCATGTTATGACGTGAGCTGGGCGCTTTAAGTTCGGATCGGATCAGAAGTAGTGTATCGCGTGGCATCGCAATTGAGTATGGATGGATAAGGTTCGAATGTATACTGGGTAGTTTCAAAGAGAATCGAATCAAAGATTGGGATCAAAAGAGCGACACGAAATTGTCGATGAAATAAGCGTATTTCTGGACCCGCGGGGGATACCAACCGTGGTCAGATATTTGGCATCTACAACGGAAGAATGTCAACCCATCTTCGCAAGAGGAAAAAAGAAATCACGACAGTAAGGCTTACCTGATTGGATCTCCGTGTAAAGGTGAAAAAACAAGATCCTTTTCAATCAGATTGACTACCAGAGAGGCCCCGTCAAGAAACAAGATTTGATAATTTGCATCGCCAGAAATGGCATTATGCCCAAGATGTCGTATACACCAGCCAACCGATTCCAGATACCGGATACCCTCAAGAAGAGATGATGTATCAAAGACAAAGGGTTGAACTTTTAAAGCAGGGACAGAAGTGACGCTAGTGAGTGACAGAAGATCCGTCCTGTTATTGTCAGCAGGAGCAGGTGATTCAAGTTGGTCGCAAGTCTTCAGAAAGTCCAATAACACTGTCAGCCCTTTTCTTGCCAACTGGTTTGTGTCTTTCAGAAGCAAGATCCTAGAAATGTCGCTCGAATCTAGACAAGTTCTATATTCTTTTTTCCATTCTGTACCTCGATCTCCAGTTAATTTCTGTGCCAGTTCAAGATGGTGCTGTTGCCGAGAGTACTGAATACGCATAGTAGGCGCTTGGAGCTTCGCTTTAAACCCACGGGCCTTTGTCTTGTCTGACGGAAAATCTTCTCCGTATAAAATAATTTCAATGTCTGCGGGAGGCGGGTTTGACATTAACGTGCACTTCATATTGGGTTCATACACGGTCACCTGTGCGAGGGATAAGCAATGCAATGCAGAAACTCGATGCACTCACATGAGGAATCTTTCTCCTGATTTGATCAACAAAGTTAGCCGCGTCGTTATATTGTTTCCAATACTTCGGAGGTAGATCGGAGAGATCGTATATATGGACGGGTTCCATCAAGCAGGATGGTACAGAGAGATGGGGGGCATCGAAAATCTAGAAATGTTGTTATTGACTAGGGGCAATAGGCCAAGGGATCATTTACCGATACTCTCTTGCTCTCTATCAACATGATTTGGTCGCCTTTATGGCCATGGCGGCGTTGATTTTGTCGAAAGTCGACCAAAAGAGCATGCGATGCTAGAATAGTGATTGTACCATTGGCCAGCTTATGGATTTTTGGCGGCAGAGAGCTGGTATCTATGGGTAGTGGTCGCGTAGTTCCAATGGGAAGAATGGCCCTATTAGTCTTATCTGCACTGGGCTCGACTGGAACGAAAATTTCTGCTTTCGACAATTTCCCAAGGAAGGTTAGACTTGTTTGGGAATCATCAGAGGGTTTTGGTACACTGGTCGTAGCAGAACTGCTGCAATAATCGCGTTTGACAGGATTTGAAGATAAATCTTTTCCCGGTTCGAGTTGACCCTGGAGGAATCGCGGTAGTGGGATGTTCCCGACATCCTTAAGAGCAGGACGTTTCCCGGATCGGGTAATAGTGGATGGTGTATATATGCGTCTCGGATTCTGTTTCTGGGTCTTTTGTGACGCTTCTTGACCCTCAAAGGCAGGTATTATGGTAGAAATAGATGGCAGAGACCTGAATTTTGAAGTCGAAGGCATATGTGTCACTGGCGAGCTTCGCCGAGGAACCCCAAATGAATCCGACTGAGATGTACAGAGATCGGACATCAAGTACTCTGTTTTTGCGACCTGTTCGATGTCTAATCGTTCATCTGCAGACTGGCAAGATTTCAATCAACAAAAAACGCAATATTAAGAGATGGATAATCACGGTATTGAGGAGAGAGAGTATTAAGCATCGGAGTTCTGGTGAACATTTGGGAAACAAGGGATATACATTTTCAGAAGTCAATTTCGGGATGTCATCAACAGTTCCCTAATAAACTGGCTATCAACATCGTATTTTTGCCATAGAAGACGAAAATTACCTTAATACAAATATATAGCACGCAGCCAAAAGACCATGTGTCAACAGCAAAGTCATACAGAGATGGGATAGTTAGAAGCTCCCTTGATAAGTGAATAACAATGACCGGTCATTGTCCGTTTTCGATGACAATCAAATGTCGCTTACGGAGCTGGATGAACAGTTCCTGTCAATGGCTGCGAAATAGAGCTTTCCCCTGGATGTACACGGACTGCATGTTTGAAGTCGCAAATTTTCTAAAGAAGAAAGATAATAATATTCTCAAAAGGAAGGAAACGTAAACGCATCGAATAAAGAAGCTTACTGGCTTGCAACCTTGTCCTAAGAGGATGTTAGTCGAGTCAATATTCCGATGGATGATTCGCTCTTCTTTTAGAAACATAAGTGCGCTGGTGATGCCCTTCGTAACCAGACGGAGTTCAGGCTCTAAAAGATCCTGCGAGCGTAGTAAATCGGATAAATTTCCTTCTGAGCAAAACTCGAGGACATGCCAATAGGCGAAATGCGGGGCAGACGAAAGGTCTATCGCTGAATGTAGCGCGACAATGTTTGGGTGACAGATTGCGCGGTGCAGTAAGACCGATGGTATGAGATTTGCTGGTTGTGGGACCTTTTCCTGCGTGTTAGTACTATTGTAACAACAAGACCATCATGGATGTTTCAATTGTAATTTGTACACGAACCTTCTTTAGTGCAAGATGTCGACCGCGTAGACGACCTTGAGTACTGATCACTTCGTATATAACAGTGGCCCCGCCGTGGATGAGTCTTCTTACGAAATTGTAGCTCTAGAGCAACGTGAGGTTGGGCTTGAAATAAATATACGAACTCACATTCAAAAGAGCGGTAGACAGTTCATCAACTTGTGCCACATCATATGGTAGAGCGTTTTCCATGATGTCCATTGATTACTGCTGATGTTGCCAGTTGGTATCTGTTGAGTCTATGGTAAGGTGTCCGCGAGCTCAATCATCTGACATTCTGAGTGAGTAGTGGCCTGGTGGTGGCAGTTTCATTCAACTCAAGTAAACTGTAACGTGTTCCCGGACGAGCCTATAGATGATTCTTACCAAAAGAACACTGATATAAGTAATTGCAAAGATGAGACAATAATTAACTCGGGTATGGTGTAACGGCTAACATTGCCGCCTCTCATGGAGTTCCGCGGCAGCTCGGGGTTCGATTCCCCGTACCCGAACTTTTGTTGCAAAGATTCCTTTTCTTTTTTTATATAAAAAAAAACGGTAAAAAAAGCTGAAGTTTGAACAGTGAACTTAGATTGCAGTCGTCATAAAATCTTTGCATGTTTAAGATCAGGATTCGATAATGATGGGTAAGCTTTGCTTATTAGTACAATGTTTGCTCAAAATACCCAATCGTCTTGGGGAGAAGTGCTCAATTATTACCTTGAGTCTGAAGAGGACGAAAGCATTTGACAACGAAGGAAGTCAAGGTCGGTCCGACTCGGCGCTCGGCTAATACTGGGAACTAAGTACATTATTAAAGAGCTCAGAAGAGATCAGACTGCGAGGTGGACCACGACTGCACTTCATCGTTTTTGGGTTGAAAAGGAATGAGTGACAATACATTTGCCGCACAAACTTTGGCGACACGATGAATATAATTTAATTATATTAGCGGGCTGAGATTAGCACCAGCTAGATGGACGATTCATGTGCCACCTTTCGGGCAAACGCCCTCAGGATCTATGCATCCGGAACTAAAGAGGGTCTTTTCGAGTTCTGAAGCGTAGTCCTGAAGATGGGATATCAAAGGGAAAATTTGTGATTGACTGGTGTCTTCGGAACAAGAGCTGCGACGGATTCGAAGTGTTCGCTGGAATCTTTTGAACGAGAGGATTTTATCTTCGGGCGTAGCAGAAGGCGCGAGAGGAAGCCGGTGGTCATTGTGCGGAGGTTTCGAAGTCAAGCATGCTCAGGAAATTCGATGATACAGCAAAGAGATATCGAAACATTGGTGAACGAGATTGTGTCTGAGAGGAATCGAGTCTGAATGTCAACGTTTAACGGTTAAACGTAAATGTTGATCGGCCCGGGACCCTGGCGTTACATACGTTACGACCTGTCTTGACTTGGTCTTGACCACCTTATCCCTCCTCGGGCCACATTCGACAAACGCCCCTGTTCACGAATCTTCACCCATCTTACAATACTGATTTCGTCTGGGGCAATTGTCTCACGCATTCATGGCTTCTGGCTCGTCCTCGTCACTGCCTCATTCTATACGCCCAGTCTCACCCATTGGCAAAGACACGGACGCAGAAGAGAGGAAAGGGCTTCTACATGACACAGAAGACGACCTAGAGGATCCTACACCCTCTAAAGAGGACGAATATCAACGTAGCTCCTTGTCTAGACGGAAGATAACTGTGATAGCACTTGCATTCATCGGATTGCTTGTAACTGGTACACTCGCTCGCACCCTGTTGTTCTCTGCGCATAGAACGTCTCCCTTATACGACGGACCTCTTTACTCGAATGGAACGGAAAACTTCAAACGTACCGTCCTTCTCGTTTCTATTGACGGTTTGAGGTAGCTATTCTACCATTTGGCCCGGTGACCATCACATTGATATGATACATAGTGCAAATTACCTGGAACGCGGGCTGACCCCGCACCTGCTAGCCATCAGTAAGAAAGGGCTGAGAGCTAAGGCATTGCAACCCATTTTTCCTGTGCGTTTCTTATTTATTTTCTTGTGGACATACTCATATTCTTAGCACAGACACTGACTTTCCCGTGAGTAACGATTGCTTCGCCTTTGGGGTTGATGTTCACCATAATGCATCCGAAGGAATCATTGGTCCTTGATGTGAGTCTCAACACTTTCTTTGGGTGTTCATTACCTCAAGTTCTTGACTTGATAGGACTGGCCTATATGCTGAATCTCATGGGATGGTTGCCAATGTAATATGAATTGCATTTGTTTTCATGGTCTTCATTTACAAACTTCCGCAGAACTTCTGGGATCCAGTGGCCAAAGTAGAATTCCACTACAACCAGATATCATCAGTCTGGAATCCTTCATTCTGGTTAGGGGAACCCGTAAGTCCAATTTAGACGGTCAAAGGCGCTGGTGCGGAACTATTGTTCTGACACTACTATGACTCCAATATAGATGTGGGAGACGGCAGAGAAGGCGGGAATTTTGACGGCGAATCTCATGTGGTAAGTTGGATCATATCACACTATCAGGAGATTATACTAAACAGCTATCCTTAGGCCTGGTCCTCCAAAGACAACAACGGGGGTATCGTCTACTTATTTCGTACCTTGGAAGGTAAAGATACGATCACTGCAATTCAAGATGTTGTCCTCATCCATCCTCATCTATTCAAGAACAAAGTTAATCTCAACATCAAGCACGACCAAATCATGCAATGGATAGACCTCCCGTTCGATAAGAGACCACAACTTATCATGGGTAAGAAACAAACTTAACACGATAGACTTCAAGAAGTAACACCTTCTATTATCCAGCGTACGAGCCGTCTCTCGACCAGGCTGGACATTTGAAGGGCCCAAACTCTAAACTAGTCAATGTGCGCTTCTCACTTTTATTATGGTAGCTATACTGATTTTACCATATTTAGGACACCTTGATCTATGTGGACAGATTTGCAAAGAAAATTCACGACTCTCTAGCCGCTAGAAACTTGACAGATATCGTCGACGTCGTTTTTGTCAGTGATCACGGTATGACTGACACCAGCAATCCTGAACAAGTCTTCATCAACGAAGTTCTGGGCGAGGAAGGCGTGAAAGCCATCGAACACGAGGACGGCTGGCCGGCTGTGGGCTTGAGATTTCATAGCAGTGCGAACGTCACGAAGCATCTCAGCGCACTCCTAGAAGCATCGTACGAGAATCCAGAGAAGTTCTCCGTCTATACGCATGATACCATGCCAGAGCGCTATCACTTCGCCCACCATGAGCGCATCGCTCCTATCTACCTCGTACCCAACATTGGGTATGTTCTGACGACGAATCCCAAAGGCGATGATCCCATGAGCAAAGGTGTACGTTCAATCTTCGTGTTTACAGTACATTCAACCAAACCTGACGTCACTGGACATTATAGAACCATGGATATGATAACGAAGAGCCATCCATGCAGGCTATGTTCGTTGCTCATGGCCCATTTTCTACCGAAGCCAAGGCCCAGCATCAGCGCCGGTCTCTTGTCTCCCGCGGGGCTGATAAGGGCTGGCATTCGACTGCCGACGATACCTATGTCATGCAGCCCTTCCGGAACCTTGAAATTTACAATCTGATCATGAAGCTCTTGGGAGTCAATGATAGCTATACTGCAAGCAATAATGGTACTGTTGGATTCTGGGATCAATATCTATGATTGTTATGATTTGGACGTTTTATCGCTTTATGAACCTTACTATATCTTCTTGCTTTATTTGTCGTGAAGTAGCGGTAGTTATAGAGGGCATGTATCTTTATTGAAAGGATCTGCAGTCATGTTAGAACAATAGCAATGACACGTCAGTGGGAACGAAGAAAGTAAATGCTGGAGCCAATAAATCCAAAGTTGATAGTACAGAGAAAGCAGTGAAAATGAACTCGATAAACATAGAAGAAATTCTGGTTCCGAGTCTTGGGTGCTTAGTGGTGCTCCTCTGCGTCGAATACCATGTCGTTCATATGCTCTCCACCCGGAGAAGGGACGTACGAGGCCTCAGGAAGGCCCGTTTCATCCAAGCCTTCAGCAGCCTCTATGATCTCATACAGCCGGGAAGCCACTTCGGGAGGAGGAACGCGACCGCCCAAAATATCGCGGGCGGGCACCGGGGATCCGTAGAAATCGCGATTGGCGTCCTTCCTCTCAATAAGTACCGTCCCTTCCAATGACAACCCAGCAAAAAGACCTGCGCAATCGAGCCATATCAGCGACTAATAGTCGAAACATTCCAAGCCCTCTCACCCTTCGACTTCGAATACGAGAACATGGGTGCGGGGTGAGCCAATGTGGCCTGAACACTTCCTCCCGTGCCAATGGGACCCGCAGCAGCGCTGATGTTCCCGCCAATCGTGACGTTGCCTCCAATTGAGAAGGCACGGACAGCGTCCTCGCTGTTGAGCACAATCACGAAATCGGTGATGTCGGCGCCTATTTGCAGCCCCCACCCCACGCCCGCAGTCGCGATACAAGATGGTGCCGACCATGATCCATCAGGAAGTCGAGCGATGACTAGTCCGGAACCGGCTCTGCCTGAGAAAACGAAGCCAGCTTTGACGACCTGGAAGATGGCGAGGCCTGGAAAACAAACGTGGCGGGCGCAGAGATAGGGGGTAGGGAAGAGTTATTGAAGAGTTACATTGCTTACTGGAACGCAAACTGACCTCTTGCTCTCTGCAGGACAGCTTTGGGGATGGAATTCAGTGCTGATTCGGGGCGTTCAGGATCCGCTGTGTGAAGAAGAGCGTTCAATTGGGAATAGCATAAGCTTAGTGAAACTATAAACAAAGCGAATGAGTACCCAAGAAACTATCCAAAATCTTCGCAGCCTTTTCTGCTTCTCCAGGCAGTGAGAATGTCTGCACAAAGTCTCGCGACCCAGATGCCACCTTCGTCGTGCTGGTTTGGAGGAAAGCAGATGCTTGAACGCCAGCTTTCTGTGCGCCCTTTCGGAATTTATCGAGCATAGACATGTTCGGGTTTCGAAGACGCTGGCGTTGAGAAAATTCCGGGTTCTGAGCGAGGGAAGATGGGAGATGGGAGATGACCGTCGGAAGGATGGCAGTGATATTAGTACTCCATACAGATACATCATTTACAGTTAGTACAGTAGGTCGACTATATTACGTCATCCTCGGCTTGCCCCTAACTACCTGAAGTGAAATCTTACGGACAACGTTCTTGGAACAAAGGAATAATTGTGATTGAAATCGGAAATGAAATTGGTTACATGGTTAGGTATCTAAAATTATTCAATACCATGAATCATTGAATGTGACAGATCCAGATGCTGGGGTAGTTTGGGAATTATTTGGGTCATCTTCCCAAGTAACAGCACCATTGAACTTGCGAATGTATTTGTACTGAAAGTTCGTGTTGGCAGGAATAGTAACCGTGACTATAAAAACAGGTCATTAAAACGCCTGGGTTGGCACGGCGTTGATTGGACTTACCACTCCAGGTGGGATAACTGTTTGCGTTTAGTG